ATGACCTGGATGACTGAGAACCTTCACAGGCATATCTTCCAGGTAAAATTTGAAAACATGGGTGCACCACCCCAGCTAAATCAACACAGGTTTTAAACTGTATAAGTTATCAGATAATTCACCTGAACAGTTTAAACAGAGCTTAAGTAAGATGTAGGCTAAAGGACAGGAAGCAGACTGCAAAAGATGTGTTTTGTCATGGCTGTGGTGTGGTTAGCACACTAATAAATATATTTTGGTTTTGCCCTGATATACATGTAATTAATCCTCTGTTTTCAGTGTACAGATAGGAAAGGTTGCAGGCCAACCAATGCTACATTCATCATCAGAGAATAGGAGCAGTTCTTACACTATACGGAGCTGCTGGTGGTGAAGGTAAAAAATAGGCTGGAAGTAAAGGTTCCTGTATGAAGAGGAGAAGGTTTGATAGTGTTTTCTTAAATGTTACTGAATTTTAAAGAACAGCTGCAGTTAATAGTGTGATTGGGGGTACAGCAGGGAAGCTTGATGTATTCATATGACTTTATCTGTGAGACCTGGTTGTACAGTTTAGCTAAGTAGAGTTCTTCAGTTTGCAGTGCTGTAGTGTGATGCCCTGCAGTGGTACATTTGTCCTCTGTGCTGATCACCTGTACCTGTTTCTAACCGGTGTGGTTACATTGAATCTGATATTGGTGTCATACTACATACTGTGCTGTACATACTGTAAGATATACTTTCTGTACAATGCAAAGTGCTGCATTAATGTAACTAGAACAAAGTTTTCGGATCTCTTCAGTGTCACACATGAGACAAGTTTTATTATAATAGTGTCATGGTCCTGAGTTTGTGGGCTCAGTGGTTTTGTTTTGATTGTTATTATCTTTTGTTTCAGTTTAATTCTGTTTAAGATTTTCTAGTTCTGAGGTTTTAGTTTCCTCTGTACTGTGTTAGTATTGTGTCTCTGTGTTCATGTCATTTCCTGTTTTATTTTGACAGTCCTACGTTAGTGTGTCTAGTTTTGCTTCCCTTGTCTTGTTATGTCGAATAAATCCCAGCCCTGTCTTCCTCGTGTTTCTCATTCCCTGATTGCTCCTTTGTGTATATGAGCACTGTGTTTTCTCCTGCTTGTTGCTGGTTCATCTGTGTTATCTCCCTGTGTTTCCCTGCATCTCTGTTTAAGGTTTCAGGTTACTTTTGTTAGTTTTTTCCGGTATA